AGGTCTTATGTACTCTTGGAGATAGCGGATTGCGATCCGCTACACTTATGCTGCTTCTTTGAAAGAACGTAAGGTCAGTGACCTTAGTAAGCTTCCACTAAACAAAGAGCTACGGCAGCCCCACTGCAGGTGACCAACGTGTCTCTGTCTTTAGAAGTGGGTGGCTTAAGCCAGTCATTTCTACTGAATACTTTTCACGAAAAATGAAGTTCATGCTTTCGAATTGGTAGTCCCTTCTACTGGATACTTTTCACGAAAATTAAAATTCAAAATTTTTGAAGGTCAAACTCCGTACACCCATGATCTTGTATCAGTTGAAGCTGATGTTTAGCCGCAGTATGCACTTGATTTGTGAATCAAGTTTTATGAGTAAAGTTCTAGGAGACCTTGGGTATTTTGCATGAAGCCATACATTTTAATTCAGTTGCAAAGTTACCTTCATGGTATCAAGTCATTTTTCTCTCTAGGTAGGGGACTGTTCTTCTCCCTTCATGTCTGAAATCGCTTCCTCGCCGCACAAGCGTGTGTGTTGTGTTTGAGAGACTGTTTGTGAACAGCACCCACTAACATATTCCACCACTGACTACCTGTCTCTTCGTCTGCAGCGAAGTCAGCATCACTGCAAGATTTCAGCACCATCGTCTTGTTCAACTTGCATCGTATTTGCTCCTTCCAAGATAGCATGAGGTTCTCGCTGTCAGTTTTAGTCTCGTATACGTGGTGGCTGTTCCTAACTCATTGCTTTGCATACCGCAAATGCAATGCAATGCGTACATCGTAGAATCGATAGCAACGGCTAACGAGGAACTGAAACAAACGATCAGATAGCATCCCAGACTCGGCGTCGTTATGCAACAATACATTGTCTGGCGCGGCTCCGTCGTAGCAACCGCCACAGATTACAGTGGATGATGCTTCTGACGATTTCGTTCCGTGCCCGCACAAATGCTCGCCGATATTTTCTTCCTGATCAAGAGAATAGATGCAGGATCGGATGCGAACAATCTTAAATCAAAAGATTTCTACACCGGTCTGCGATGCTTGACTGAAAGCAATACCATTGCCACGAAAAATTGATCAATAACGGCAGCTCTCGCTGCGGGTAGAAGGGGGTCGTCGACGTAGATACCAACCGCTGCTACGTCTTCTTCGTCAAGCTTAAAGTACATGCACATGTCACTGCTGATACACTGCATGATATGAGTACTACGGGCCATAGCTTGCTCCACGATCGTGCTGGCTGCTTTGGGCCATTCAGACGCTTCTTTAGATCGCGTCCGACTTCATTCACACTGGTATACCAAGCGGCTTGAGTGGTTTGTCCTTAATCTTCATTCTGCTTGGCACATTGAGCAGCAAATCTGGATCTTAATCTTTATCAACCTTGACGTTAGCGCTCGGAATGTCAACATACTTTTTCGGTACCCCTCACGTTGCCGTGAGTCCTAGAATCATCTTTACAGTCGACATGTCCATGTGTGAGTGCAATGTCGATCCCAAAGACTTGCTCATTTCTGCGCGCAACTAATCGCGCTTCAAGACGCTCTGCCTCCCCATAGGTGTCGGTTTGACCATGATGACCCTTGCTGTGTAGCATGTTTGCCTCAGTGTGTCGCTTGATTACATCCAGGCGCCATTGTCTTCCAACGCCATTCTGTTATCATAATCTTGCTCGAGCCTTTAGCTTTGGTGTTTCGCATAGCCTTCAAGTACGTCGATGTGCCCGCCAAATGTACTTGCATAACCGTTTCATCGTGTTCGACTGTTAATTCGTGCTTTATGCGGCTCACATTGATGTCCTGCGCGTAATATTTGGGGCACGCATCCACGGCTTCTTATCATACTTGTTTACTTTCTTGCTTGCAATAGGTCGAGTCGACTAGCGCCATCATGTAGCTGATCGCTCCTACGTTACAAAGGGTTTATTGATGTTCTTGACATGCTGAATCTTGACCACAATCTCAGCACTCCGTCGATGTACGCGATACACATTAGATTCATCACTGCGTCCCGCAGTCATACCGACATTTGCTTGATGCACGAATAGGGCCGGTAAGCTGTACACGTCCATTGAACACCACGATGTCAGCCGGGCGGCGCCTGACCCGAACAAGAGACGTACTGTTTACGTTCGAACTAGATTGACTTTGTTTTAGTATGTACACCAAGTACTCGATCGCATCCTTTCAGAACGTTAGTTAAAGCTTTTTAGCAAATATCACGGAGCGTACCATGTTCAGCTCTATCCGGCGCATGCATTCAGCCTTGCGACTGGACTTTTGCTTGCTTCGCTCGCCTGCCATTGAACGCCGACAGACTAGCAAAATAACAATATATTCTTGCACCCACACCGTCGTCAGTAAGAAGCACATAAACGCGGCAGTCAAACCCCCTCTCAAAAAATACCAAGAAGAATTAAATTATTTTTTCCTGCTCGGTTCTTAGTGCGCGCGAGGAAGACTTGGTAATAATTGCTCTTGTGGTCGATAACGCTTGCGAGGTACCGCTTCCGTAGTCGGGTTATGGTGTCATTAGTTCTTTGAGGCTCAAGCAGATAATACCAGCAAGGCGATCGATTGAGAAATGCACACCCGTGTCCTTCCTCGACAGCGCGTTCATAGTTTGCTGACCCTGTAAACACGAAACGACACAGTGTGCCGATGATCAGTAAGCTGAATACTAGAGCCTGGATCATGCGCCGTTTTTTTCGATTGTGTCAGACGATAGATGCCCAGAGCGCTGATGGATATGCATGAGTGTTCCACGCTGCATACCATATCCATAATTTGTGACCTTAGTGGCTGCCGTTACGATGCCGCCATCCTTGCTGATTGTCGATTGAGGCTCGCGGCTTAACAACAAGCACGTTGTTCTGCACACAAAAAACGCCATCTTTCGTGCTGAGCAACCTGACCAATCGCTGATCGCTTATGTGAGCACGCCGGTAGGCTTTTGAATCGAGCTTGGCGTAACACAAAAAGGTCGCGCGTCAGCATCGGAGAAAAGTAGACATCCTCATGACGATCAACAATTTGATTTTTAATCGCCACTATGCGCAGCAGCACGCTAAACATCTTACCATCAGCAACCGAACACTAATCCTCACATTCGAGGGAGACTTCAAATAGAGCCGCATCATTCCTGAGATGCCGACTCGATTCGCTGTCTGAAATACACGCCTTCTCTTGGGTGCTTCTATCTTGCACACCCAAGTCTGAATTCACGGTATCCTTCGTCTTGATGTTTTTCTTCCTGCCATTTTTGGCACCACCAATCTTTTCTTCTTTTTGTTAGGGTAAGCTACCATAAGATGGCCAACCTTGCCATATTCAAAGCACGCTCGTGCCTCAATGCCAGACTTGCTGTCGATGAGGGATTGCGACGACGCGATTCCCATACACAGCAGGAACTGTCGTATCAAGCTCAACAGACTGCAAATTGAGCGAAATTTCTAGCTTGAACAAAACGTCGTGTTGTCCGACAATCATAGTTTGTCATGGGTACCGTGCTTAGCTTACTTCACGCATAATGAACGATTCTGTCGAGTACTTGCGCATCAGCGTCTCTACATTCGTCGCTCACTACTACCAAGTACAAAAACATCTCGGGCTAAGTCTGCATCTTTCTTCATCGTAAATAGCTTCATTGATTGCGATGCAGTGACCGCTGTGGCGAAGTCACTTCAAAACAAATCGAGTGCATGGATCTGACTTAACCAAGTCTCGACCTGCTTGTTATAGGGTACCACTCAAATAGTGGCCTAGCAAGTGGATCTCCTCGTCTTTTGCCCATTTGAAACCACACGCTGCTTGCGAGCACTGAATCTGGCGCATAAATGCTCGAATCCGGCCCAGGAAAAATGATCCGAACCTCGATACAGCTCCGTCGTATCAAACCTGTGGATCGTGAGTCTGCGCTGACGCTTCTTCGGTTCACGCGTTACTTATTGTGCGATCGATCGAATAATCTCTTGCTATCCCATACTGCGATGCCCGAAATTGAGGCTGTGGTGGGACTTTGCCACGTGGATCCTGCCGTTCTGACTGTGTGGCTTGTCTCTCATCATTGTGCCAATCCTCGTCCTTGGTCATCTCTCTGTCGCATGGGCGAATGGCCTAGCGCATCGATATGCATAGGCGCAGTACCGCGGCCGTTACCGAAGCAGAATGAACTCAATTGCCCCAAGCATGCGTTCGTCATGTTTCGCTTCATTTGCAAAGCATTCTTCTATGTCACCCTTGAAGTTTGAGGGGTAGCGTAAAATCCAAGCATTAACGTCGCCACTCCTTTCGTGAGTGGTCGGCGTGGTGGGCACAACTATTGAAGACGCTGCGATCCTTACATAGCCTGAGTCAAAGCTGACTGGAGTCGGCGCACTCGGCGCGCCATCAACGCTCGCTGTACCTTGAGGTGGAACCGAATTATAATCGCAAAATACGAATGTACACGTAAAATGAGTCCAGAGAACTAATAAAGGCGAGAACTATTGAAGACATCATCACATGGACAAATTTACCGCTACTACAAGCCGAGCAAATTTTGACACCATCGTGTAGGATAAAGTTTCATTGACACTAGTCAACTCCCATGTTAATCGCAACACAGTGAATACTTCGCTAGAGTACAACCCAAGAGCGAGATATCTAACCAGAACTGAAACTGCAAAACGTTTTGGATCTTTGTGACATTGCAGAATCTGTGATGGCCTATTGAAATATCATACAGTGCTCTCAAACGGAAATTTCTGCCGGGTTTGTTCGAATTGAAGAACAGACACTCAGTAATGATATCAATAATGCCTTGCTTTATTTTCACATCAACAGCTTCTCTTAAGAACCAAAGTAAGAGTGTAGGGTTCTAGCAATAGCGTTTCTAACCGAAGCACCTCTTTTTGATTTCTGATTGAAGAGCTTAGTAAATAGTCCACTGCTCATGATGCTGGCCCCGATGGTAGCTTTTGCACTGTTCAAACCAAAAAGCATCTCGTGTTTTGGCCCGGGATGTCTATTTACGGGCGCGTTGTTGCCATGTCATCTACTAATTTTCAAAATACACACAGAACTGGTATTTAATTGGTTGTTGACAGGATGATCTTCAGACCGTAGTTCATCTCGTTGAGGCTTTAAACATCGTACGGCTCATTGGTGGGCTTGATCTCAAAAGTCGGTGACAGCGAAGGTTGGCACTTATTTCTTAAGTTTTGATATCTACATATAGATTATTAAACTGTTGTTGTCTCGCCAGTATTCGATGATGTGGCTGAACTGTCCAAGGGACAAGGCTCGACACTATATATCAGTTACGCATATTGCGGGACAATGAAAGCAGAAAAACACAGTAACTCAATTCTGCTTTTTTCGGCTCAGAACACAATTTTGCGAATGAAATAATAGAATCTTGTAGGTTTTTGTAATCTGAGATTGCGATGTCGCAAAAAAAGCTGATACTACATGTAGTGGCCTGGAAGCTTTCGCTCCTTCCATTGTTGCCCACACCATCCGCCTACTCTCTTATGAATCATGATGATAGCCCCTTGTTCACCAAGGCATTTCAAGTGCACTCGCTCTCCGCAGAAAACTACGAGATTATGCTGAAAGATAATAACACTGTTTGGTTGGTAGATTACTATGCCCCATGGTGTCCACATTGCCGCCACTTCGCCCCAGAATGGGAGCGAGTTGCCGCTTTTTATGCCAGCACTGATAAAGTGCAGGTTGGGGCTGTGGACTGCACGAAGTTTCGTGTGATCTGCAATAATGAGAACATAAACGGTTATCCTGGCGTGAAAATTCACCATGTACCTGCAGACTCTAAGAAGGCGTCAACAATGCCACGAGCTACCACTAGCAAGACTGTAATTGACTGGCTAGAGAAGCATATGAAAGAACACGGCGTTGATTCTGGCGTAAATATCAAGGTTGTGGAAGCGCAGCTAAAGAATCTTAAAATGGACATCATCGACGGAGATGAAACGGGAAAGCCAACTTTTAACGACCATTCTATCGCAATGAAGTCAAAGCGACTGCATGATGCAGGAGTTGCGGCGGTGTCAATATTCCACAATGATTTTTTCACGGGGTCAGATGTACTGGAAGGAGATAAGTATGAGGTAGCTTTGATGTGGGTTGAAGCCATTTCTGCAACGTTTCCGGTAAAGCAAAATCGGCTGGTACTCTCTTCACTTGTAAGTATGATGAAGACGAGCAATCACTGGTATTATGCGGATTGGAAAGTGATGTTAGATACGTGGAAGGAAGAAGGAAGATACAAGACAATCCCGATGGATTTATTCTTTTTAAGTTCAGATCGAACGTTGCTATTTTGCAAGACGTACACGTGCAGCTTGTGGACCTTATTTCACAGTATGACGGTGACTGATGCTGCAGTTAATAGCACGGAGGCTAAAACGCACCTTTTTATGCCAAGCAGGGTCATGGCGGCTATCAGACTCTTTGTGCAAAACTTTTTTGGATGCGAAGAATGCCGAGAGAATTTTTTATCATCCAACCCGGAAAGCTTGATCGCTAAGCTGGCTGTACGTGATAACGAGGGTCCTCATGCAGTAATTATGAGAATGTGGAAGATGCACAACGCTATCAACAAAGCTATCGATAAAAAGCAGTGGCCTTCAAGGATAGCGTGTCCGATTTGCTACGTGAAAGATGGCCAGTCTGTATCTCTTGAACCAGAACGGCTCCATGAGAACGAGATCGTGGCATATGTTGTTAGTGCTTACGGATACGATGACGAGGACATCTATGCAATGGGCGTCGCATACAATAGTACACTTGCTACACTGTGGTCTTCGGTTGACGGCTTTAATGCAATGATGATGATAACGGGATTCTTTGTATTGCTGACGGTGGCATACAAAACGAGGAGGCAGCGGATTTTGGACCAAAACGTGTACCTTACGCGAGATCACATGGCATGACAATCTATCTGTCTGTATTGTAACTTTTGTGAATGAATTATATGCTCTTGTTCGACTTTATTTGATTCTAATTTTATCAGGAAGAATTAATAAGTATGCCAACTTCGTACGAATTTGGTGCATGTATACTATGTAAAAAGCATATTTTCTTCGTGATGAGATTGTCAGTTGTCGATGAAATTAAATTTTCATCCTAATGTCAACGCGCCAAGCTGAAAAGCTACTTGTGGCTGCAGCCAAAAATGGAATCGCCATCCCGTGCACCTCAGACGCCACCACATTTTTATTGACCCATCCCCGTGGCGCCTACACCGCCGCCCGAACCGTGTCACAGACCAGAATCTTTGACTACGAGGCACACATCCGTCGTCTCGGTCCGTAAAAGAAAGACAGATATTATCTTGCTGTTTACACGATTAATCATTCCTTAACGACTGTATTTGCTGTAGTGGAGTCGACCATCGCCATGCAAACTGGAAAGCAATTGACAATTAGTGCTCTGGAAAAAGAATTGAGACCAAAAACTAAGGCGACATTAGTTGCTGCGATGACGGCATTTAATGATATGTACAAGGTGCAAAACAATCAAGAGTACAAAATTAATGTGCTGGTGTGTTCTTCAGAGAGAAAATTTGTGAATGGAGAAGTGATGGGTGACACCGACGTTTTCTGTCATGTAAGTCTCCTTCCACCGCTGCGCTCCGACATGGTCAAGCTGGAGGTGGCAGGTCTGCCGCGCCTCAATGCTGCGGCAAAGGATTCGGTCTGGGTGAGAGAGCGAAAGGCAATTTATGACAGGATGGCTCCAGATATGGAAGATGTGATCCTCATGGACCCAGCGACTGCACATCTGCTGGAAGGATCGCAAACGAATTTTTATGCTATCCAAAATGGCACTGTGTTTACGGCGGAGGAGGGAATTCTTAAAGGAACGGTGAGGTCTCTCGTACTCGATGTTTGTGCAAAATGCGGAATTTCCGTCACCTTTCAACCTCCAATGCTAGATGATGTCAGTAAATGGCAAGGTTGCTTCATTTCAAGCACATCAAGACTGGTACTGGGAGCAAAGTCGCTAGCATATCAGCACCCTGACACTAAGGAGGCCATGACACAGAATTTTGTGGCACATCCAATCCTATCCCAAATTCAAGATTTAGTTCGCGAATCGGTTTTTGCCAGGAGTACGAAAATGTTTTAGTGATGTCAGCCAAATACTTCCAAAAGAAGATAAAAACACCAATTATAGCCATCACATCATTGCTTGGATTGCTACATATTGATGTCATGACTTTAGGAAGCAAAGGAAGCAGCAGTTCAACAAGCTGGTTTGATGAACTAAATGCTCTTGAGCCTATAATGTGCGTTGTCGTAAGTTGCCTTGTGGTGATTTTACAATCTTCGTCCATTCAAATGATAGTCTGATCTCTGTCCACGACATTGCTCGTCTGCACTAAGCCAATTAAAAAAAAGCAATGCCTCTGCAAGCTAAATTTAAGTTCGGATCGTCCGAGAAGGTTAGTGTTGTGACCCGGGTCAACTTTTGGCCAACCCGACCTGACTTGGGTCAGCAGGTGCCCAACCCGGGTCAAC